ATATATTTATTAATATAAAAAAAAACTCATTTATTATATACAAAAAAAAACTATATCTTTTTTCTAATTAGTGTTGTATGACAGATTTCTTATGACAAATTTTAATCAAATCACTATTCAATTTTAGTTAGATTATAATTGCTGAGTAACGTCTTCAGCTAGAGCAAAGTGAAGGATTATTTATTGTATTGTTATAGACGAATTGTATTCATTTATTCCTTCTATTATCACTGCTATCTCCTTTCTTAGAATATAGTAATTAATTTGACTTTATGACAGATGTTCCATGTTTTAATGTAAAAAAAGTAGTTTTTTTTTTAATAATCAATTTTTTTTAATATTTTGATTACATTTGAAAAAAAAAAACTTTCTTTTTTGATATGATATAAATAAAATAATAATAATAATAATAATTTTTGAAAGATATATGAATTTACAATATTTTCTTTTTTTCTAAATCTAATTATACTGAAAACTTATTATTATACTAAATAAGTTATATAAAGCTTATTTAATTATATAAATCATATAACAAAGTGCTATACCTTGTATTTGAACTTTTCTGAAATACTAATAATCATATTAATCATGTACATTAAAGATAATTATATATGATGATGTATGGTTTTCATACATATATATTAATAAAACTATAGCATTTATTAGTAAAATTCAAACTTTCTAAATACTCATTTTCTCAATTGCATGCATAATATAAATTCACTCTAAATGCATGTTCTACTTATGAGTCCTTTAATCATTTTAATCTCTAATAAATGCATACACTTTCTAAATACACCATATTTTTATAGTCTCTAATGGAAATGGCAATCTGAGAGATTGTTTATAATTTTCATTTTTATTTTATTTATTAATGAGTATAATTGTGATTGGAGAAGCGTTAATGGGATAAGTTCAGTTTTTTTAAATACTTTATACTTTAATCTTTTCAGAGAGATTGCTATGTTGAATTTTTTTTTCAATCCTAAAAGTAAGGCACAATTTTTTCATGCATCATCTACTGTATATTGGATATTATTCCACGCTGAAAAAGGTAATAACATCATTTATTGTTCAGAGTACCTATTATTATTTTTTTTTATATATCATATTAAATATATTTTATTTAGTTATTAAAAAAAATCGCATAAATAAAGAACAATTTCTTCGAATTTACTAAATCATTTTTAATAAGATTAACATAAACAGTTTTTTTTTCTTGAAAATCTAAAACAAACAAACCATGTCTCATAACATAAGTAAGTTCTCAAATTTATTACAAATAAAAAAAAATATATTGCTAAAAATCTAATACATATTTAATTACAGTTACTGTGAAAAGTTCTCATCCTATGAAAGAAGTAAATGAAATGAGCTTTCAAGAACTTCATAAATTTTTGGAATCAAAGAACATTAAATATGAAGATCTTAAAAATATCATTAATGAGGAAATTTGAGGTAAATAGCTTGATTTTTAGTTGCTATGATTTCATTCTCTGTATCATATTTATTTCACTTTTATTTATGATCTCACCATTTAGGAAGAAAAAACCATTTATCAGAAAGATAACCACCCTTATCAATCATTCAAATTTGCTTAAACAAGGAAAAGGAATTGTAATATGTGATGAAAACATAGTTGACAAACTAAATCTATATGTTGATTACAAACAACTTTGAAAAATGATAGTAAAAGAATGAAAGTTGGGTGGCCCTGTAGAAATATTTTGCTCTTGTCATTTCCAAAATCTTGATGACAAAAGGCTCGATAGACTTTAAGATAAATATAGAGATCAAGGTTTTGTTGTAAACCTTATTAAATAAAGGCTGAACACGAAAAGAGAAAAAAAAGTAGATACGATATTAGTTATACATGGAATGAAATTCTTGAAAGAAAGGGATCCCAAAATATTAGCTATAGTCGCAGGCAATAGTGATTACGTACCTTTAGTTGAACATGCTCTGGAGAAAGGATGGAAAGTTGAAATATGGTTTTGGTCATTAGGTATGAAAAGATTATTATATTTGAAAGTCATGGATTTGTCTAAATGAGATCTCAATCTTTTAGGATTGTCTGGAGAATATAAAAAATTTACATATTCTTGTGAATCAAAATCTCCTCGTAAATTTACTTTTGAAATCAAACATAAATGTATTGAAGTTTTGAAAGAAGAACTCCTATTGCAATTAATCATCAAGTAAGATTTATTTGAATAGTGACATTAGATCAATAATGATCATTTATTGATTTATGTTAATATATAAAAACAGAAAGAGGAGTTAGAAAGGTTGTTATAATTGAAGAATATAAGAATTTAAATTCTTTGCTAGTAAGATGCGCTTTAGATAAATTAATAAGCCTAAGAATTTAAATTATGATAATTCTGCTTATTTATTATAATAGAAAGAATATTGGATTTATCAACAAATTTGTGAAAGAACAAAATATATTTAATACCTTTTTTATCAGAAAAAAAGAATCATATAATTAAAGACGGAATATACTAATTGTAACTATGACAAAGATCATTTGTACATCATATGTGATCTTTGCAATAGAAAAGAGAAACTGCCAAAAAAAAGAGAATCCTAGGCAATTTTTAGTTTAATCAAAATCAGGTGATTTGCATGATATCATAACGCTAATTGAAATTAATATTATAAAAGATAATTGTTAATATTGTTAAGAATTCAACTTGTGATAATTTATGGGAAATTTTTTTGGTATAATAAAAATAAAAATAAATAATGCAATTGAATTGTCATGCGATATTGTAATACAATAAAATTTTGAATGATCACATGATCATCAAGTTACTACATGATGTGTTTTTAATTAACTGATTCCATTAGGTCATGCTGTGTTCATTGATAAGTTCATTAAACTAAGAACATGCATTTCAGGAATATTAGTATGATTGGTGAATGACTTCATTGTATGATTGTAAAATTATTTTGTATTTTTTCATCATGAATGTGAAGATCATCCCTAATTTACTTATTACGAAACCTAGTTTCACTAAAGACAGGATAATTGTTAAAGACAATTATGATTTGTGTTGCAAAAAAAATATTTATTATTAAATTTACTAATTCTAAGCATAAAACATAAGGTATTACATATAATTTTTATTGCTACAGAGAGTGATCACGGTGTGATGGGTAAAATTTTAGATAGATTTAATTGGTAGTTTATTAAGTCCATTTTATTGCCATGTAGATCTTCTAT